GCCGCCACCTTATCTTCCAAGTGCTGAAAGTGCAGCCTCTTGAGGTGCTTAACCGACAAAGACTGGATTTGGTTGCCAGGAGGTTTTTGCAAGATATCGTCAAGGTCGATTCCCCAGTAACCAAAAAGGGACTTCTGGAACATTGTCCTTAGCCCAGTGACCTCCCCAAGTTTATTTAGGATGGCATCAAGAGCGCGGATGTCCTCCTTGATAGGGGCCATGAAAATGGCAGCGGCGACCGCGTAGAGGCATGAGTGGAAGTGCTCCCCTCGCCCCCAAGGGGTACAACTCCCCATGCTCGGCGGCCAGCTGTAAGAGACGTGCGAGGGGGTCGATCGTGATGACGACGAGAAGCCGAGAGAGCGGGTGTCCTTGCCTAAGCCCGCAGCCGTGCCGAATTGGGTCGCCAGGGACGCCATTGAGGAGGATACACGATGATGAAGTTGAAAGGAGCACAACAGTCCAGTTATGGAAGCAGGAGGGGAACCCACACTGTTGTAGGAGGTCTAAGATATAGTCCCATCGCACCAAGTGGAAGGCCTTCTTTATGTTGATCTTGAGGAGGATAGAGGTTTTTTTACGGTGCATCCAACGCACATAGTTGTAAACAAACATGAAATTATCAGGTATGCTCTTGGTTTTGATGAAAGCGCTTTGTGCGTTCAAGCGAGGGTGTACATGTGAGGGCAAGCATTATATGGAAGAGGAGTCCCCAACAGTGTGGGAAGTACCCATGTACTTATATGGAAGAGAAGTCCCCAACAGTGTGGAACAAATGGGCAGTCCCAGAGTAGATGCATTGCAGTTTCCTCAGTGTTTTCTGAACATAGGGCACAATTATAGTTCTCCACGTACATGTTCTTGCGGTTCAGAAGATTCCTGGTATTGGTACGATCATGCAGTAGTAGCAAGAAGAATATCTTGTGTCCGAGTCTACAGGAGGTACCCCAGAGCTGCTTGAAGATGTTGTGAGGAGAACTGGCACCAATCAAAACTTTGTACATGTTCTTGGAGTAGTGTTTGGCTGCTCAAGGGTATATCCATTGATCTTCCACATTTGGCAGAGGTCTCTCAACAAGGCTAGTTTGGAAGATGCTAAATTGTTTTTTTTAGAAAAGGAGGATGACCCCCGGCCTCTGCATCTGGAAGATGCATAAGGCCACTTTATTGATTATTCTCGAGGACCTTACAAAGTATTACAACAATGAGCCTGAATCCACCATCTTGGCAACACATGCACTACTCCTATCCAAAATGATGAAGGGGTGCTAGCTGGGCCACTACCCAAACCACTCACCTAAGCCTAACATCAAAAAGCCGGAAGCCGAAACATATTCGGAAGCCCCAGCCTAGCCACATACCGGGTCTGGGCCACAATCCGGTCAGACGCACTCGTGTGTCGTCGCCGCCATCTTCCACAGGTCCGTCTTCAGATCATATTGAGGCTTCTACCTTGTCTGGCCACACTGCCATCGACGTCACCATGACGCCAGATAGCAACCTCCTCCTGCGCGAGTCCATCTCCACGCATCGGGCGGCGAGCCTCCACCGCGCCATGCCGTCGATCTTCGCCGCCATCAATGAGTGAGATGAAGTACCGCTCCACCACGGCATGTTCAAGGTGAGGAAGGGCGAGGTCCCCATCGGAGACACGGCCGGAAGAGAAGCACCGCAGCCCCGAGACACTGCCCGGAGCTGCGACGCAGTAGATCAGGCGGGCCGCCACCAGGAACCAGACAAGCTCGCCATGCACACCCAGCATCCCCGCCGCCGCTTAGCCACCGGGGCTAGGGTTTTCACCCGGGTGCAGGGGAAGGCGGGAGGCAGGGGAGGTTTAGCCTCGGCGCCACCACCAAGGAGGGAATGGCGTCCGGGACGCCATCGACGCCGTGACCGCCGCCAGCGGTCAAGGGTTTCCCCCGGCCAAGCACCCTGCCGCCACCTCCGAACCAGCCACAACATCAGCAGGCGCGTGTACGCCGGAGATCCAGGCCGACCGGAGGTCATGCATCACGAGCGGACCAGGATCGCCTTCGATCTGACGAGGGGAGCCCGGGGCCTCCCCGCGTCATGACCTGCGCCCACCGGAACCTCGCTGCCCGCGCAGCCGAGGGGAACCGGCCTGCCTCACCGACAAGCACTCCCCGCTGCCGGAGGAGCGCCGTCCGCACCAGCGAGGTCGCCGCCTCAGATCCGGACCCTCACCACCGAAAGGGAGCGATCAGATTGGTGGGAGCGCTGGATCCAGCCAAGTCGCCCCGCCGCCACCATCCCGGGAGCCGGCGCCGGCTTCGCCGGCCGTTCCTCCCTGTGGGCGAGGTGGGGAGGGAGATGGGAAGGGTGTAAGGCGTGGGGATCTGGGTTCCCCCGTCGCCGCCAGGGAGGGCGACGCGGGGGACGGGAGATGCTAAATTGGTGAAATGCTTCTTGTGATAGTGCTCTGCAAAATAGGTGTTCAATCTCTGGTAATGCTTGTACCCTTTGCAGGGAAGCTTCCTTGTTATTTATGAAAGAGTAGAGCTCATAAGGGAGCACATAAGAAGATTGGCATGCTGGGTCGACAATTCCCACATTGGGAAGTCCACCTTGACGGCAACGAATTAGTGGAAAAGTAGTCATGTAAATTAGTGGCATCTTGGCCACGACGAGAACAACTTGACACCCTCCAGCCAAACCCCTTCAGTTCGCCACCATTACCACTCTGTTACTTTTCTGCCTCGGCCAAGTCGGACAGCCGGCACGTCATCTTAGGGTTCTTCCTTAATCCATGCTCGACGACGACAGGTATTTGAGTAATGAGGAAAGACAGTTTTTTTTAGATCAACACGGAGTAGCTCCCTGGCTCCATTACTCAGAAAGAAGCCCAATAATTTCCGAAAAAGGGTTTCCCCTGCTTTATATATAAAGCACCATCACCAAACAAGTTGAAACCGGCCGATACAAACACACACACACGCACACACACCCAAGGCTGGATACAAGGATGCTGAAAACGGAAACACCACCCCAACAAACACCTAGTAAACACCAGATGGAACACTAAGCACTACTACGGAGTCGTCAGGATCCTCAACCGTGGGAGAGCCACCGCGAAGAGGAGAAGCCGTGTGTGACGCTCAATGGGCTCCAAGGTGGCGCCTTCAGCAAGGGAACGACACCGTAGTGTCGCCACCGCCCAATCCAAGGATTAGGGTTTCCCCTGGAGCACCGACAACAGATGAGATGCGGCGACTGCGCCTTCAAGAAGGGGACGACGCCAGAACGCCTCCGCCGCCGGCCTTATAAGACAGAGCGGGTTTTCACCAAGGCCAATACTCATCGTAATCGAATTGGGTTATGGGCCATCGTAACGCCACCACCGAACAACACACCCCGGTCAACATGCCACCCACACGGCCATGGTGACCGGACAATGCCCGAGTCGCATGCTCCGCCCATGGGAACCACGACTACCACCAACCGGGCCGCCGCCACTACATCCGAGCCCCACCCCCATCCAGGATACACCTAACGGATGCGGCCGACCGGAACGGAGCAGAAGACCACCCTTCCACCCCAAAGCCGACACCTTGGCAGGGTTGGTGTCCTCGGCGGCTAGATCTGGGCCAAGGGAACTCCGGCAGCCACCCAAAGCAGCCACCAAATGCCACAGGAGGGGCACCCTGCCCCCTTCCCAAAGTCCCCTGCCACCTCCGGCAGGCCTTGCGCGCACCCACACCGCACCATGGAGCAATCCTGGCT